AATTGACACTTAAAATGAAGACATTTCGTGGTGAAAGAATCGATTTAGGTCTATAAAATATGGTAGGTGTGATATTAATATATGAATAGGGATAAAACTCAAAATCTCAGTAAAAAAAAATCTGTATAGCTCATTCAAAATCGTCAAGTAAGTTACCAAATTCCAACCATAAAGGAAAAAGAAAAAAATCTTTAAAAAACTTGGAATTCACCAAGTAAACAAAACAAAATTCATGGAATATTAACAGAAAAGTCCAGTTATGGCTGGCCTCTTAGTTCTGATACAGACTTGTGCAAGTGGTGCATGGGCAATCGCTATATTATAAGGGCTTGGACATAGCATCCGATAAATTAAAAGGGGTGACTTATGGCCTTTTGATTATGAAATATCTGAATCTTAATAATAATATCTACCTCGTTCTATCACAAGATCATACCTTACTCCTCCCTGACCTAAGTAATGGATGATGACTGTAAAATGGTTAAAGCTTGTTATCAACTTCCGAGCAAGTCTCCTTAACTTAACATCAAACATTAAATATGAATTTTTGTACTCATAAGTTTAGCACCGCGTGTACGTGTATCAGGATGTAGTGAATTTAGTATTGGCGACGGCTACGTAACTCCCAGATTCAATATCAATGTTGTAATTGCAAAACTCGTAAATGGATTGGTAAGGAAACTCATGACCCTTGCACTGTTCAGTGTTCTTAGCCTATTGTTATTTCAGCCCAACATAGCAAATTGAACAGTTCATAACACAATGCGTATTCACCTTCTCGGATGATCCAACAATTCGTTTTTATGACAACCTCGATTGATTCAGACCCTGTGGGGTCTAGTCCCTGTCCCACCAGGGAGTTTTTATAGCAATAACAACTCCCTGGTCACATGCACTGATTGTAAACTTCACAATGGTTGACTGTTTACTGCTGGTATGCTACATCAGGCCCGTAGCCAGGATCTTCCAAGGGGCGGGGGTTTCTGGGCGTGAGGTCCAAGTCAATGCCCCGGTGAAGTCGGCGAAACCCCCAAAGCGCGAGAATTTTTGTGCTTTACATGTTTAAATAATGCTATAAAAGCAGATATGTTTGAAAATATCTGTGTCTGGGTGGGTCTGCAGTGCATTAGTTGGGTTGGAGGACTTATTTGGGAAATTTAAAGAGGGGGTTTTGCCAGAAAAGAGGGGGGTTTGCTAGAAAAGGGGGGTTCTCCCGAACCATAAACCCCATAAACCCCCCCCCCCCTGGATACGGGCCTGTACATGGCCTACAGACTTGTGTGATGTGTACATCTTTTTAGCTCCGATGAGGAGCTCTATGACTACTCGGCTCATTGATTAAAAGATCTTTTTTGATCATTTCTTCATATATTTTGTATAAGCTCTAATGTGATTGTTGTTATTTGTAAATAAACCAATATATGTTTACCTTCACATACACATTAAATACATATTATTCACATTATACTATTTGAAACCATATGAAATTATTTGATCATTTAATAAAAAGCTCAATGTATGTTAACGTTATATAAAAACATGCCAAAAACCCCTATTAAGGAGATTTTATGTTTTTGGTTATGCCTATTAAGGCACACTTTTTTCGGTCCCGAAGGTGTCCCCTTAATAGTGGTTCTACTGTATTATCTATTTAGGTCCGCGCCGCCAATATTGAAAAAAAAAATCGTGCAGAAAATTTTGTACACATAAACTAGAGGGGATTTCCAACAAACGTTCATGGCCCTTTTTTTAAGTTGGACCCCAGGGTGACCCATACACCTACAAAACAAAGCAGGGGTTTCAGCAAGGACTGTACATTTCTGCCATTACCACTAATAGAACACGTCGCATTTATAGCGCGATCGATTAACTAACGAACCAAAGGTCGTGAGTTCGAATCGCGTCTTGGTAGGCGCCTATTCAATTTTCATTTATTTATTTTTTTTCAATTTTAAGATACTTTAGTTTTTCAATTTCAACACATTTTAATTTTGTACAAATGATCATTCTAATTATTGTTAAGTTGGACTGCAGGGTGCCCCGTACACTTACAAAAACAAAACAGGGGTTTCAGCAAGGCCTACTGCCATTACCATGATTATGACACGTCGCATAGGCTAGATGACGTGATCGGTTAACGAAGTGTTTTAAGTAACCGAAGGTCATGAGTTCGAATCGCGTCTTCAATTTTACTTATTCTTTTTAATTTTAAGACATTTTACTTTTTCAATTTTAGCACATATTAGTTTTGTACAAATGAACATTCTAATTATTAAAAAATATATATCTTATTAACTCTTCCAAATTATTTTGTCAAACAGCTCTCAAGTGTCTTTTTACAAATAAAAAATGAATAAAAAAAAAGGCGCGATTTGAACTCAGACCTTAGTTTCCTTACAACATAGCGTTAACCGACCGCCCCATTTATGCGACGCGTCATGTTGTGGCAGTAATTATTGGCAGTTATGAATCCTAACCAAAAATCCAATGTGTACCGTATTTAAACATGGAGGATATTTTCTCAATGATTTAAGCATGATTTAATAGTGTCAAAAAACTTTGTCTGAAAGGTGCATACACCCGAAGCGATAAACGCTGAATAGAGAAACGTAACCTCATCGGGGCTTTCGAGATTACGAGAACTTGTTTTGTTACAGGGAGATGATATTTTAGGTTAAAATCATAATATGCCAATTGTCTATTATACGGAACATAATTGAATTAGGTCGTGTTAATAGCGCGTACAGCGTTCAAGCTCACATTTAGCATAGAGGAACATGCACTTAGCATGGTTCCAAACTTGGTACACACTAGAAGTTAAGACGCCATATTCAATATGTTCAGTGTGAATCATTTGAAATACAGTATACTAATTAACGCCAACACAATCGTATGCGAAAGTTGCTGCTGCGGCCTTCAGTGCAGCTAAACTTACTATTTCACAAGTAAGGGAATGAGACAATAAGAGGAACAGCTGCGGCTAGCGTTTGCGCCAATCCCCCTGTGTTTGCTTTTGAAGCGTGCTAGTCTAAAACATGATCAATAATAATAATAATAACAATAATAATAATAATAATAATAATAATAATAATAATAATAATAATAATAATAATAATAATAATAATAATAATAATAATAATAATAATAATAATAAAAACATGCCTATCAGATGTCTGAGGTTAATTTCATAATTTAATATATTTATTTATTCCACAATCTTTTGATAGGGTGCTCAACAGCAAAGCTCGCCAACACCGGGCATATTATTTAGGCCCTATCTACGATTGTGTGTACGCGTCTCGTTTCAAGAGTTTCACAGCGGAAATCGATCTTGGTGACTGACGTCGAAGCATAGCATTTATTGCATTTGCGTCAAAACGCTTTGAAAGGTGGACCCCGAACGTTATAGAAAGATGAATGCGGCGGTAGCACCTGACACACACATGACCTATATGACCTAAAAATCGTCTACACATTGTCACCGAATTTGATCGTCAGCATCGTATAACATGTATTAAAACAATAAAGGACTATTTAAGAGAATATGGTTTTATGCCTCTGTATTGTCAATTTATTGGACAGGAAGAGGGGCCTTGATGAGGACGCTGGGCCCCAATGTAAGCAAATTGTAGGGCAGCTCTGTAACAAACCGCCCGATGTTTAATGCTGTATTATCAATACTATGAAAAAATGTGTTCAATGTAATACAATATAATAATGTTTTAAATAATACAATAATATTATAGATCCATAAGCTGAGCTATAAAACAGGCTAGAATTCTTATTTTCATAAAGTTATTTTATTGCCGTACAATTATATGGCCTTGGCGATTGCAATTGAATGTTAAGATTGGAAAGGGAAATTAAATTACTGATATTACAAACTGAAACAAAAATTGATGTCGAGAGTTCTGAAGTTTTATAAGATACTACATTATAATAATGTGTCGACTGATTGGCCACGTAAGTATCAAAACCAGCATAAAATTCTTGCTGCTTTCTTTCGCTTACTATTGTTCGATTGGCTCTCAGTACTTAGCCTCACTTAGATTCTACGCGCTTGCTGATAGTCAGAGAGAAAAAAACCTCCAAAACAAATAATTTAGGCCTAATACGGTAATGCAATTTATAATACTTTATACATAATAACAGAAAACGGAATTTAATCAAGAATGAAATAAAAAATAAAAAAACTCCACCGTGACTAATTCTAGGAACTTTTTGTATGCAGGGCGAACACCATAGCAACAAATCCATGAATAAGTGAATCTAAGTGCTGGTAGCGAATGAAGACGTCTTTTACTTTTCAACGTGCCCGACGTCACAATGGGATAGCACTAACTCC